TATTCCGGAGCCACGCCGGAAGTGGTCGCCAGTGAGGTCACGCAGGAACGCGGCGCCGCGCACGGCCTGCCGGGCTGCCGGGACAGAGAGGCGTCGCGCGCGCCCCGCTTTTGGCAGCGCCGCGTCCGCGCTGAGGCGCCGCCTGGCGTAGCGGAGTGCGGGCGTCGGGAGCCTGTCCTGCGGCGGGCCGCCCCGGAGGCTGCGCGGGCCAGGGAGTGCCGGCGGGCTCCCGCGACGCCGGCGGCCCACGGCACAGGCCGCGTCCCCGCCCTGCGCGCCGGCTCCCCGCGGAGCGCCCCGAGGGACACCGGCCGCGCTCCGACTGCGCCGTCCCGCCCGCCCTGCGCGGGGGCCTCGGGGCCCGTAGGCTGCCGGGCCGCCCTGTGCTCCCGTGCCCACGGGCGAGCGCCACCGTCCGTCCCCGGCCTCCGTCGGGGAGGCTCGGCGGAGACGCCCACGGGCCCTCGTCGGGCCGGCGCCGGGGAAGCCCGGGCGCCGCCGCGGGCCTGTGGCCGGAGGGCGACAGCCGACAGGGCCGCAGCGGGGACCCGCCGGCGGCGCGTTGTCGCTTGCCTGTCTCCTCCCGTGTTCCCGCCATATTAGACTCGTTAACATTTCATTAGGGTATTGCCAGTTAGTGGCTGAAAAGTACACATCTGCAAATCCAGGTGAGCGTATAACATCTTAAAAATATGACAGCTAAACGCCAGTCATAAAGTGCGCTGTAAGCATAGTCTTTAAAACAAGGCGTTCAAAACGTGGTTAAGCTAATTTGCCAGTGGATGTTACGTGGGGTTTCGTTTACTCAATAGATAGCAGTTTTTCGTTAAACATTAACGAGTGCCCACTATGCTAAGGATTGAAGATTAGAGAAACGGCACACACCCTCCTCCAGGGAGCTTTAGGAGTGTTGTAAGTAAAGAAATGACACGTAAATGCTCATATTGGGCGTGAGACGACAAGGAAGGCATGCCCAACTTCGTCTTTCATTCATTTAAAAAAAAATGTATTGATTGAGCACCTAAGAGTTGCCAGGCACTGTTGTGATGCTGGGAACAAATGCAGGTCCTTTGGAGCTTGCTTTCTAGTGGGAGGAGAGACAATAGACATGTGAGGGACGACAGACTAGGCCGGGAGATGCTGTGGGGAACCCCAAAGGAGGGGTCTGGGGAGGATGCTGCTCCTTTATACAGGCTGTCAGGAAAGGCTTCCCTCGGTGACACTAAGGGACGGAGCGAAGGGAGAGAGGGAAGCGCAGGAGTGCAGGAGGAGGCCGCAGGGGCTCTGCGGGAGGCGCGCGCAGTGAGGGCGGAGCTGCGGTCGAGGCTGACGTGGAGCAGAGTTCCCGGCTGCGGCGCCGCTGGCACTTGGTGCGGCGCAGTTCTTTGTTGTTCGGCCTGTCCTGTGCATTGTAGGATGCTCACAGCATCCCTGGCCGCTAGCCAGTGGATGCCAGTAGCACCTCCTCCCCCAGGTTGTGTCTACCAAAAGCATATCCAATTTGCCAAATGTCCGCTGGGTGGCAAAGCCACCCCCGGTTGCGAACCACTAACAGAGAACCACCTGTCCAAAAATGCTGTCTGAGACGATGAAAATGTTCTGTATCTGTGCTGTCCACTCCAGTCACCATCGCCACATGTGGCTATTGAGCTCTTCTAATGTGGCTAATACAACTGACGAACTGAATTTTAAGTTGTATTTGAATTTTAATAGCCACATGTGGGTAGTGGCTGCTGTATTGGATAGTGCAGATCTAGAGCCTTCCGGGCCATTATCAAGCCTTGACTTTTATCTTTTACCTCTCTGTCTTCATTTTGTGTTATTTCTCAGTCTCTCACACCGGACTAGTCTCCGTGGCCCCCTCACTATGTGTTCAGGAAACTTGCCATGCAGGTCCCTGCCTCGGAGCCTTTGCTCGTGCTGTTCCTGCCTGGCACACTCTTCCCTCGGATGTCTGAATGGCTCTTTCCCTTCCTCACTCACGTTCCTGCTCAAAGATCACCTGTGACAGAGGCCTTGCCTCCTCGCCCTGTTGCGTCGCCACCAGCGATGCCTTCTTACTTCCGCCTCCCCCTCACTTACTGTTCTCCAGCACTTACTGCATACTCTGTGTGTGCTGCCTGTCAGTAACATGTGAGTTCTGTGAGCCAGGGAGTTTCATCTGTTTTGGTTTTTTTTCTTCATTGCCTCTCACAGAACCTGGTCCACGGTCGGTGTGCAATGAATATTTGTTGAATAAATGAATGAGTTGTAAAGCCATTGGAGGATTTTCAGCTGAGGAACGGCATTCTCGGAATTGCTTCAGACAGGATGGTTTTGGCTGCTGGTGTGAAGAGCAGACTGCAGCAGGCCAAGGGGAGAGGCAGGGAGCCTGATCTGGAGACTGCTACAACAGGCCAGGCGAGAGGGGAGAGGGCCTGAGTTCAAGTAGAGGGCACCGTAACAAGTCAGCGGTGACTGCAGGGTTGGGTGTGGGCAGCTGGAGCTGCTCTTTACTGAGAGAAGACTGGGAGAAGTAGGTTTCAATGGAGAAATCTGGAGTTATCAAGAGGTATCAGGCTTTCCGGAGAAAGTGGTGATGCCGAAGAAAGATTAAGCAAAGAATGAGGGGTGGGGCAGAGGGTGAAGAATACAGATAAAGGGAACAGCAGTGAAAAACGCATGGAACAAAACAGCATGGCTCTTTTTGGCTGGAGCCAAAGACAGTACAGGAGCTATAAGGTGAAGAAAAATTCAGTAAAATCCTAACAGGAAGGGCTCAGCAGCAGGCCCTTCACAGACTTCATTCTTACAACCATGCAAGAACAGGTGGCTGCTTGTAACAGGTGAGGAAGTCTGACTGAGCTCACCTCAGGGGTGCACTTAATTGCTTAAGGCTCCACAACCATAAAATTATCATGCTGGAATTTGAATACAACTCTTTGAGCTGTTTCCATTAAATCAAGTTCTGGTAGTTTCACTTAATACTTTTTTTTTTTTTTTTGAGGAAGGTTAGCCCTGAGCTAACATCTGCCACCAATCCTCCTCTTTTTGCTGAGGAAGACTGGCCCTGAGCTAACATCCGTGCCCATCTTCCTCTACTTTATATGTGGGACGCCTGCCAGTGGAGGGCTTGCCAAGCAGTACCATTTTCGCACCCAGGATCCGCACCAGTGAGCCCCTGGCCGAAGCAGAACATGCGAACTTAACCACTGCACCACGGGGCTGGCCCTCTGAATACTTAAGAAAAAAAATTTCCCTAGATTAGAGTGGTTTGGGGCCTTAGATCTTACTATTAAAATATCCATTCACCCAAGAGTAGTTATTTAAGTACTTATTAATAGGGGACTTCTTTAAATACCCTGGAAACAGAGAGTTTCCAAGAATGCTCTATGAATGTAAGAGGAAATCGTTTACCTTCTAGGGACATAGGATGTCCCAAATGTTGCTTGAGATCTGTGGTTTTCAAGCCTTAGTATCAGAATCATCTGGAGGACTTGTTAAACGACAGACTGGTGCCACATCTGACCAAACTTGAGCACTTCTAACAAGTTCTCAGGCGATGCCGCTCCCGCCGCTCCCAGGCCCACACTAAGAATCGTGCTAGTGGAGGATGATATCCACCAGCCATCTCCACCAGCCTTCCTTCTGTCCCTAATCGCTGACCCTCAGGCAAGTCTGACCCCCTCCTGGGATGGACTGCATGCACTCATGCTCTACATCTCTAGGGAAAACCTCACTGCAGAATGGAAACTGCATGGCATTATGATTTTAGGAGGACACCTGATTTTTCAGTCCCATCTCTCCATTTATTAGCTGTGTGATTTCAGTCATTTTTTAACGTCTCTGAGCCTTGGCGTCTAAAATGCAGTGTTATCTACCTTTAAGTTGTTTTAACAATTAGACGTTAACACGTATAAAGTAGCTGGTTCTTCTCCAGTGTGCAGCACCCATAAATAAGGCATGAACCTCTCTCCCATTTTTAGTTTTTATTCCATGTAACATTGGATTGCCTCTATTTCCTATCTTGATATACAGCCAAAACTTCTGCCCCTGTTATCAGTTGCTTCTTGAAATCAGTATGGATCTTATGCCAGGAAAAGCAATCTAATCTGTTTACCTTGGAAGCGTATTTAGTAATATCTGATTGCTTCCCAGAATTCCTCAAGTTTCAGAAAAGAAGAGTGCAAAGTCTAGATAATTCCAATAACTTTATCTAAATACCTCAATACCTTTAATAGTCTCACATCACACTACTGTAAATCAGACTGAGAATTCCAGATCTCAGCTCTAGAATGCTTCAGTAACTGTTTTTCAAAGATTTGTAATATGTGCAAATTACTGTATTTAACACAATATCCATTCTTTCACTTGCAGTGCTGTCTCATCGCATCAGAGGCTCTTTTTCTACTTCAGCCCGTTTTTTCTAGTTGTGAGTTATATAGCCAATAGTGTGGGGGGGTTTTCCTTTTATTGAACCAAAAAAGGAGGAGTCCTCATGCCCAAGGACCTCACTTTTAGAGAGATTATTAATTGGCTCAAACGTTTTCCCATTGAAAAGCTTTTGTAAGAAGTAATTTTCATCATCATTTACATATTTCAAAGTGACCTCACAGTCTTTGTTTTTCGTTTTAAGTTCCACCAGATTCTTCATCTTTGCAGAATTACCAATGTAGACAAATCCACCCAGTCTTACTTTGGGGAAGTGCTGGTACTTGTCTTCCACCCACGAAGTTTGCAGAGGATACCGTATCACACTGAAACCATTCAACTAAAATGACTTAGCAACCAGCCTGTCACCAACTTGTAATTCCTGCGTATGGACATTAGTTGAAATAATGTCTATTTTGTGTAAATTTTTAGAGTTTTGTTTTTCTGTAATGTTTTAAAAAAATCAATCTGAATATGGTAATAATATTAACTGAAATATATCATTCTCTTATGAGACATAATAGAAATTACTTAGTATCTTAAGCCTAACTCCTTTTGAAGCAAGGTGCTACATAAAAGTGAACACTTCATTACCAAGGACAAAGTTTTATTGAACAAATCTATGTACAGTACAAAAAATTCTTGAAATGAGACACTACTGTTGATTTATTGCAGTTCAATGGCTCAGTTTTAATTTGTACTCTTATAAAATGCAAAGTAAAATAATTTAATGTTCAACAAGGAAGCACAAATTTCCTTTCTTGCTGAATCTGTAATATCTTTCACATATTAACAATTCCAAAATGCATATGCAGCATTTAGTCATTCTGAAAAGGTGTTTTACAGTACCAAATAAATTAAAAAATAAACACTATCATCCCTTTTAGGTTTTTCATCCATACAACAGTTTAAACCAAACGTGAAAGGAGTACGGCTGAACCTTCAAGTGTGATTTGAAAAGAATCACAAGCTCAATGTTATAAATTATCTACCTATTATATAGTTGGTGGTTTAAAAAAAAAATGAACATGGCTAAAGCCCAAAGTACCAGTGTCCTTGTCCACGGAGATTCCCCTTTTCTACCTTCTCCATAATATCTGAGCAGCAAAAATTCAGATTTGCTATTTCTTGACCTTACTGAAGCATAGCAGAAAGTTAATATTTAATGTTGTGAAGGAAATTTTTATTTAAAAGCAAAGGATTGAAACTTGGTCCATGTAAGATAATACATGCTCAAACTAAAAGGAATAGAAGCGAAAAAGAGACCAATCTGAGGAATAAGAAGAAAGCTTCCTTTTCTTCTCAATCTCAAATCAGAACTGTTGGAAGTTTATGCACCCCATAAAAGCAAAATGATGTAAGTTTATGTTTTATAGGACATACATAATAAAGTGTACATATTCTTTCAATAGCAATTATTTGAGAAGTATATAAAGAGGTTAGAACAGTGTGGTCAAACAGAATTTTATAAAATACTCCTTGATTTAGTTATGTATAAATCGATTTGATCTCAGTCTTTCAGAAACAGTTTTCCCTTAGCAACACGAAAGTAGAAATAAAACCTCAAAGACAAAAGAATAACAAGTAGACTATGTTTAAAACATCTTGCAAGATGATGAGAATAACAATTTGCAGACATGGATTTATGTCAATCGTTAACAACTTATAAAAAATAAAAGGTTAAAAATGTGGTAAAATGTTAAGTTGTAATTTTAAACTTCTGGAAAATGTACAAAGCAGAAATTATCTTTAAAAAAAAACCCTCCATTGTCCAAATGAAGTAGTTTTTAAACAGACTTTTTATTACATGATGTATTTTAGACTGAACTGAAATATCACCCAACTGTTCTATTTTTAGTATCAGGAAGTATGGAAAACATGTTCTTTTTAAGTTGACCTCAAATGATTTAAAAATCTGAGTTGTGTTTACTTATCTATTATTTAAATATAAATTCCACAGCCTAATGTAGGCTATATGACAAAACAAAAACCTAAATTTGACTAGAATGGACTTACGACTCTCAATTGCATAGTAGTGAATGCCCATTAAAAATAAACTAGTAAAACTGGAAAATTTTTTTTTAGATATCTGACCTATCATGACCTGAAAATCCTAATTTAATAAAGTCTGGATGCTACCCTGGAAGAAATGTTCCACTTTCTTAGTAACTTCATTCAAGAAGCTTTAATATCAAAAAATTTGTAACAGTAGGGTCTGATGAGATTAACTGCTTTGAACAAAAATGTATCAGCTGGAATAACTGGAATATTTGGTTGACATTGGTACACCAGTACCTCCATTTCTGAAGAATTTGCCTTTGCATTTTTGTTTATTTTATTCCTGCTATAGATTAACAGACTACTATTAGGTAAAAGATCTTTAAGCTTCCTCTTTTAGAGAATGTACAAGTGGAACACATCTAAGAGGGTATTTTAAAAAACATTTTTTGTTTTAACAATTTATTGACTATTAAGATAAAATCTTCCTTAGGAAAATTACTGGTCATCAAGGAAAATAAACGCATCAATATATCTTTATCATGTTCTTGCTGTGCAAATTTTTGTGTAAATTTTTCCTTTTATATATAAAAATTACTCTTCAGACCAAATTCATCATTAATAAATAAGAAAGTATGAGTCATATGGCTTATTTTAGAATTAACTCTTCTAATTGAATAAAACCAATGAATTCTTGACCTGATTCTTAGCTGATATATTTTCTTACAGCAAGTTATTTTTATAGGACTTTACTTAGATAACTCACATTAATGTCTAAAGGACCTTACTATGAATCATCAAGCAATGTCCTAACACAACTCTGTATACAAATAGAAATATCCCAGTGTGCTTATACCATTATTCACATTGAGGAATTTGCAATTCAGTGTTTTCCTTCAACTAGATAGCCTTTAATAGTCTTAGATTCCTCCCATCGCTCCCCAAAGTTACTGATGGTACTTTTGCCATTTAATTGACACTGCTGCTTTTTAAATATAACTCATTGGTATTACAAAAATGGAAATTGGAGCACTACTGTCATTTTCTTTTGTTTTGTAATTTTCAATGCTGGCGTGCCATTCATTGAACTTTGACCTGTCTAATTAACCACCTGGAAACAACTTACAATCTTTTATGGATAGCATGATGGTAACTCAAGTTTTATTTCCATGTATCAGTTTCTAAATTATAATAAACCAAATAGCAGGGTTCCTTAACCCATGTTTGACCAGAAGGGAGGACAGAACTTCATTATGCATGACAAGAAAACAAATCTCATTTGTAGAACACTTTAAGTTGTTTATTGTAAACCAACCCTACCCCCTTTTTTATAATGGGTTAACTTTTCCCTTTCGGTAAGGCCATAGCTGGTTTTTCTTTCTGACTAGTTGTCTGAATATATTTCTCACATAAGCGAAACTGAACATGCTGCTATTAATCATCATCTACTTTTTTAAAAGTGTGGTTTTCTGGATAACTGGTACTTTGGGAGTTTTGTAATAACCCTTTTGGAGTCTAAACCAGCACATCTCTGGGAGTTATTCTAGAAAATGTGCTTTATCTTTATCTCTAGTAATCCGAGACCGCTCTAAAATTAAGGCCATCAAGGAAAGAGCAAACTGATGATGCATTTTCTTGTAGTGCTTTGTTCACACTACGGCTTGATCGACAGATCTTTCTGAAACATTTTTATCAGGCACCTGTAAAACAGAACATGTCTGTTAATTCAAATTTTATAGATGTTCAACTGGAATTCTACGTCAGATTCCTGTTTAATTTATACTTTTACTCATTCAAAGAATATTTATAATTAGAAAGGCAAGCTCTTCTTTTGCTGAATTTTGTTTTTCAATTATTTTCTGGTTCTTTCTTAGTTCTGTTTTTGTAACAGAGACTCAACTTTCTTCAGTTGATATTCTGGCATGCAGATGAAAAACATTTCCCTCATAATGACTTTGTTTCTGGAACTTTTATTATATGAAACTCAGAATGAAGAAAAGCCTTAGACACAGTGAAACAGTATGATCAGAGTATGAAACACTTGTGTTCAAGTTCTGGCTTCCACAAGTTCAAAGGCCTGTGCCTATACAAATTAGTTAACTTGTGAATTCAGTTGCTTGATCTATAAAACAGGAATAGTAATATCACCTCATAGTGGTTGTATGAATTAAAGGAAATAAAGTATGGGGTAGTGCTTTATTAACTGACATACAAATGTTAATTTTTTAACCTTATAAAGATCTATGGCATTTTCTATTTCTACAGATATACCTACTGAGAAGACAGAAGACTTACTTTCATCATCTGAATCAAATCCAAAGAGTGTCTGACATTTCTTTTGTGCAAGGTGAGCCTCAAGTGCTTCTGCATTACAGTAGGTGGTCAGGCATTTGCCACATCTCAATCTTTTCACTGATTTTTTACAAACATTATCTTGATCAGAACAGGCATCTACTCTATCAGTCAGAAATTTTCTGCGTTTTGGCATACTAAGGTACCGTTCATCAAGGTAACTGGGAGGCAATGGTCTGACATATGGCTTTGTTAAAATTAAGCCATATGAAGTGTGTTCAGTTGTCAGATTTGGTTTGGAGGGTGCCTGAGATGCTGGCAGGGTATTGTGTTCTTGTGGTACAACACTGGGTAAAATGGAGCCGTTTTCTGTCCTGACTCTATTTGTATCAGTTTTCAAAGCAGGATCTGATGAAACTAAAGGTGTCTGCTCTATTCCACTGTGTCCATTGACTAAATCACTAATACTACAGTTATTTTCAGCATTTGGCTCTATGTCAGGCATCTTTTGGTCTATCAAGCTTATATCAGAAACAGTGTCATCAGAATGTTCATTTCCATTCTGAACTAAACTGTCTGTTTTCTTTTCCATACTTTCTATACACGTCTTTGGTTCTGCAGAATCTTTCCTTGATTTGCTAGTAGAAACTGGCAGACTAACAGTTTGTTTCTCATTACTAGATGAGTCTTTTTCCTGACGATTAGGATTTGTGTCTGTAAGAACATCCCAAAGAATTGCTTCACTTGGCTGTGCAGATGATTCTGGTGTTTTACTTAAATAATGCTGAGCTTCATGTTCATATAGCAGAGGAAGATCTTCGAAAAGCTCATGGCATTCTGGAAAACTACACTGAGCTTGAAAAATCCTGTGACTTTTTGTGTGCTGAGCGAGCTGGAATGGCAGCTTAAATGACTCATTGCAATTAAAATGCAAACAAAAGTACGCATTTGGATAGCTGTGTCTATTAAGGTGATCTATAAAATGTTGAGAATCTTCAAACTGCCTCTGACAAAATTTGCATTTTCCTTTGCTCCACTTCATTACTGTTTGCCGCACATTTAAATCAGTTGGGTGAACAGTCCTTGCATGTTTATTTAGAAATCCAATTCTTTTAAATATCCTAACACAGCCAAGAGCAGGGCACTTAAAGTTTCCTTCTTGGTCTGTAGCATATATGTCTTTCGGGTGGCACACAGTTCCATTGATTTTATGAAGCACTGAAGTTTCTTGATTCAGGTCATAATCATCTTCTTCATAATCACCTTCTTCGTCCTCTTCCTCCTCATAGTCATCCTCACATACAGGTAAAGGTTCTGCGACTTTATTTAAAGAAGTATCAGGACTGCCATTTTCAATAATGTTTTCAATGTCTTCTGATACACTTATGGGAATTTCAGTGAATTCAGCCACATGTGCAGGGATGACTTCTTTGTTTCCATCACTGGAAGCAGTAATAGTTTCTACTTCCAAATCCTTATTATGAGAATTCCCATTTTCAAATGAAATGAAAGAATTGGAACAATTTATTTCTTCCAAAGCAGGGATTTCCTGATCCTCCTGCTGAGCTGCAGCAATTTGCTGTCTCTGTATTTTCTTAACGTGATTCTTTAAATGCTTCTGCATAAGTCCTCTGTTTCGAAATTTCCTACCACATATTACACATGAAAAACTGCCCTTTTTCTGATGAGCCTGGGCATGCCTTACAATGTGCCCACCTAGAAATTCTTTGTTACACAACATACACCGATGTCGTGGGACACTGTGATCTACTTTGGAAGCGTTAAGAGCTGTGAAGTTTTTCTTTGTGTTAATGTGACCTTTAGGCTGCACTCCAGGAATCTCATCAGAATCAAGCTCTCCAGTGCTCTGATCTGTAAGAGAGTCAAGCCCTTTATCTAAGCCTTGCTGTTCCACCGCCTTTTTTAGATTACCTGTACAATTTTCCAGTGTACTTTCATTTAGAAATCTAACTGCTGATTTATCACTCAGTAAAGCCACACAGTTTTTCTTAATCATTACGAAGTTCCAGAATTCAGGATCAAAAAACAATCCCTTTTTCAAAATTGGAAGTAATTCAAAACGAACACGATTTTGAACGCTACTTGTGCCTTCATTATATTCTTCATCTGGACGTTTGTAAAGCTCTTCAACAGTATGATAAGCTTCCAAGGAGCGCTCAAGAAAAAATATTGAGAGTGCACAAATCCTGAGAATCTCCAAATCATTTGGCAAAAAATGTGCAATTGTTTTATAAATTAGACATTTAGTTTTGGGATCATCATGAAGGTCTAGCTGTAGAGCACAACCACATATTTCAACACAAATTTGTAAGCCTTCTTCTTCAACCTGTAAAAAGAAAAATATTACTACTAAATACCTTTTTAAAAAATTATTACACTAGTTTATCTTTTTAAAATACAACTCTGAAATGAAGGCTGAATAAACAGTTTTCCAAATGTGCAATTTTCCTCATTGGGTAACTCTATTTTTTGATATATAAATAAATCTTTTTTTTTGAACTTGAGAATAATCTGGAAAAGATGGGATTTTAGCTTCCAAATTAATCAATTTTCAAGTTTGACAAGCCCTACTAACTATAATTCAAAATGCTTCAGAACCATATGGTGATTCAAATACAAAATGCTTCCATAAACTTATGGTGATTCAAGTTTCTTACAAATCTTGCCCCTATTTATTATTTTAGGTATCCAACCTCACATTCTGTGGCAGAAGGGTTAAATTATATGTATTTAACCACATTTATCAATGTTTGATGTAAAAATAAAAATAGATTTTGAAAAAACTGCTTATGGAAACTCTTTCATGAAGCTGTAGTAAATAATATGACTTATTTTATGTTTTCAGTAATATTATTTATCCAACTAAGGGAAAAGTGTGGCCCACATGAAGAGGGCAAGTACAATCTTTACAAATCTAATAAAGTATCAGAATAATGAACCTACTGGAAGTTATCTGAAAATCATTCAAGCTTTGAAACATCTACTGATGACTGAAAGATAACTGCATCAGCTTTTACTTAGGAACTTCTTGTCTATCCATCTTAATTCAAGTTATAGATAATGCCTCCAATGATTTGGAATGATCTAAATGCTTGTTTGAACAGAAAGAGACACAGTAATAATATGTCTTTAACATTGTGTGTGTGAGCATCATACTGTTTGCATATGGTATATTCGAGAGGACAGGGAGGAACACTACCTTTCCAGCCTCATGTCCTCTTTCCTCTTAGTCCCTGACATGCTGGGTAACCTGGCTTAACTACTTACAGCTCCACAAGCAGACCTTAACCATCGTATTCCCACTTTATCTAGCTGGTAAATTCCTGCTCATTTCCTCTTCATTCTTTGTGAATCACTTCTACTCTGAAAATCTCTCTCCTCATGCATTCTGGCCCCGGCCCTGGCCTAGAATTAAACATTCCCTATTCTGTCCACTGAGAATAACATACTTATTTCTAAAATGCATGTACATATTGTTTTATAACTATCTGTGTATGCCCCAATCCCCTGACTTTGAATTTCCAAATCTCTGGGACAATATCTCATTTTTTGTATCCTCTTATGGTTAACACAGAAGTTGGCATATAGTGTGACCTTGGAATAAATGTTTGCAGAATGAATGGGATCAAATCTATTCCATTGACTTTAGTTTTCTCCTAGAAATCCATCATTTCCAGCTTGGAATCCTTTTCTGAATTCAAATTTCTTGTTTCTAATTGTCTCTTACAATTAGATATTCCCACCTAGATTTTCCAGATATAGCAAATTCAAAATCCACTGCTTCAAAACAGAATTCCTTTTCTTTATCCAAAGTTCTATCTACACCCTCTCTCTTGACTCATGAAATTATAATGTACCCAGTTGCCCAAGTTTAAAAGTTTTAGAATTGGGGGACAACCTCATGGCCAAGTGGTTAAGTTCATGTTCCACTTCAGCGGCCCAGGCTTTCTGCAGTTTGGATCCTGGGCACGACATGGCACCGCTCATCAGGCCATGCTGAGGGAACGTTCCACAGAGCAGAACCAGAGGCACTCACAACTAGAATATACAACTATGTACGGGGGGTGGTTTGGGGAGAAGAAGAAGAAGAAAAAAATATTAATGAATAAATAAATAAATAAAGGGCCATCCCAGTGGCGCAGCAGTTAAGTGCGCATGTTCTGCTTCAGCGGCCTGGGGTTCACCGGTTCGGATCCCGGGTGTGGACATGGCACCATGTGGCAAGCCATGCTGTGGTAGGCGTCCCACATATAAAGTAGAGGAAGATAGGCATGGATGTTAGCTCAGAGCCAGCATTCCTCAGCAAAAAGAGGAGGATTGGCAGCAGTTAGCTCAGGGCTAATCTTCCTCAAAAAAAAAGATTGGCAACAGATGTTAGCTCAGGTGCCAATCTTTAAAAAGAAAAAGTTTCAGAATCATCACAAAAAAAGGAAACAGGCTTCTTCCTTACCTGAAATCTTTTAATGATTCCTATGTATATTTAGTGACCGAAGTTCCAACTTTTAGTATAGCATTCAAGTCCCTTTAGGATCTCCAGCAATTCTTACCCCCAACCCCTTCAGTCTTTCTGAATAGTTTCATCTCCTACACACTTCCCCATGTTTCACTGCTACCCTATTAATGCCACTGGACAGTTCTGAGAAACAAAAATGAGGCAAAAGTACTCTATAAACTACAAAATCCTCTACAAATGTTAGTGTTATCTTCATCTAGCATTCAAAACCCAGCTTAAAGCATCCTCCTCTGTGAAGCCATCTGTAATATCTCCTTCTTCTGAACTCGCATAGCATTATCTGTTCCTCTCTTCACAACACCAAGGGATGCAAATGATCTATTCCATCAGATAAAAACGTTTTTAGTACACTGTAAACAATTAAGCACATTTTTAATATTTATTTCATCTTTGAATTTTTCCTCTTATAATATATTCTTAGGTTGACCAGACATATACAACAAGAAAGCTCTATGATAATTGCCTGAACTTCACCTATATTGTAAACTTTCTATAACGAAGTCTCTCAATTTTTGGTGCAAATAAGAATCACATGTAAAAAAAGATATATGTACGGCTACATCTTTATTTTATTTTTTTTCAAGTCTTACAGGTGATTCTGATGCACTTCAAATGTTGAGAAGCATTCTATAGCATAGTTTGTTTTTTTCCCCTTTTTGGTGGGGAGAGAGGTTAACTTTGATGATGCATTTCAATGACAATTCACTATTTAATAATGGAGCTATTAATGTAGTCAACAAAATAAATAGGAAACAAAACAAAAAAACCTTCTGATACAATGCTGCCAACTTTCTGTCATGGGAATATGATTACTATGTGGTCATACATCTAATGAGTGATGTGATAATGAATATGATAAACATAAATATATAAGAAAAAATTAAAATCTATTATTATGGATGCCTCCTTATGTATTTAAAAGTGACCCACATAAAGATTCAGGTAAACAGAGCTACTTAAAATGTAGGCTAGGTCTGTCTGTTCTATCTTTGCGCTCAAAGTTCTGCTAATATCCGAGGGGAAAACGTTAGAGGGTCTGCAGAATCTACTTTCACATCTATGTAACAGTCATACATAGAATTGTACGCACCTACAAGTGGCCCATGAAAAACTTGCTTCAGAACTATTTTTAAAAACAGGTAATATGTTTTTACTATAACTTCAAATAAACTTTTTAAAACTTTATCCTTAAGTTTCAAAAGTACCTCAGAATTCATTATTTCTTTTCACCTAAACAACAGACTTAAAACTATGAATTCTATTTCTCTACGACAGGGAGCAAGTGTTACTTATAGATATACAAAGTTCATTTGCAAATTAGTTAAGATTCTACAAACAGGACTTAAGATAATGTTAAAAGTGACAAACTTATTTAATTACAAGAAAAGATAATAGCTTTTTATAGAAGCAACTATTCCCATGTTAAATTTTAAGTAACACTAAATTGGCTTCCTCTTTTTTCGGTTATTTTCATTTATGTATACTCTTAGTACCATGTTAGGAGTTTGAGGTTTCGGGGGAAGGGAGGATGTAATATATGGAGAATGCGGCCTTCAAATCCTCCTTTCTCTTCAATTTTATAATCAAACAAATTTTATAAGAGATTCAAGTTTCAGTGAACTGTCATTTAAATTTCATTTAAAATGAAGGGATAAATATATCCTATTTACCTCATCTTTAATGATTTTCATGAAAGGAAATATGACTCTCACATTAGTTGCTGTTCTTAAAAGCTGGTAGCATTGATCTACAAAAACTTGTTTTGAAGGATTAGACTTAAGCTGAAGTTTACTCCATATGAAAATCAACTCCCTGTAAATGAGAAAAAAAAAAGAGAAATATCAAAAATACAGCTTATTCAAATACAGACATTAGCTATCTTTCCCTGATTCAGTAGTGCCCTGACTGGGAGGTACACAAAATGAGCATAAATGGATGCTATGCTAACCTCCAAGTACTTCTGCTACCTACGTGGGACTAACAGAAGTTGGTTCAAGATCAGAAACGGCAATTCTGCAGTGGTAAGGGATGAATTCCAATCATATCATGACAAACCTAAGGCATCTCTAGTACTTAATCAAAACAAATTCTAATTCTAGTGTACCAATATTAATGATATTACTTTAAAAAAATAAACTTTGGCCTTTAATTAATACCCTATTTGCAAATTTAGAAATCACTGTTGTAGACTTTCTGCAAAGAAGAAATGGTTCCTATTTTTCATTTCAATCTATTAAGTTACCAATAGTACTACAGATTAAAAATATAAGTATATTATAGTACCGATTCTAAAATTTTTTTTTGCCAACTTTTTAAAATTAACGTAACAAATAATTTCTTCCATAATAGCAACTGTGCTAAAACCCCAATAACATTAGCCAACTTGCTGTCATGTTCTATGGTCTTCTAATTAATATAGCACACAGACATTTATAAACTACAGAGCCACATCAGTTTGTAAGCAACTAATAAATTTTGAAATGTTAGGAATATAGTAAAACTACATTCTAAATAGTTTTAACTTTCCCTTTTTCCTTAAATTTCCTTTTGTATATTCAAGCTTTCCACTAATTTTTTCACTAGACTCAATTAAATCCTACATTTAAATATGGCCAAAGAGAAAACAACAATATTGAGATGGGTGTCAACAAAATAGCTGACTTTTATCAGAGTCTAAGCCACTTAAAGCTATTCTCCAAAAGAAAACTTATTCACCCCAGGCTTACAGGGAAAAAGCTAGCCTCGAATCTCAGGTTCTTCATGGCTGACCTGTCAGTACAAGGGAACGTCCGAGGCTCAAGGCTGGAAGGGCTAAATGCCACAGGCTGTGTCACCAGTGGAATGTCCCTCAGCTGAAGAAAAGACCTGACACACTGGGCAATGTGTTCAACTTGCAGAAGACAGGAGTCTGCACTGGTACCAATCAAGTTAACAAGGTTTAAGCCCTAGTCAAAGATAACAAAATGTTACCACACCTGAATAATAACCTCTAAGCAACTTCCAGCTTACACTGCACGGACTCTCGCCACTACATGAACTTAGGGAACAGCTGCGTAGTCTTGAGTAGAAGCACAAGCCGTTCAATCAATTCTCTGCAGTGACTGATTAGAGTGACTTCCTGTCAGCTGGAGACTATACTATGTTCACAATCATGATCATTACAACATGCAGTCAACAAATATGCAGTGACAAACCAAGTACAAGGTGGTGGACCCAATGTTGAATTATCTCCTAACTTTTCCTCAAATCCCTTTACTGCCACTAAAAAATCTAGACCCACCACTTCTAGTCCTATATGAAGCTGAAGTATGACTGTTGCTATATGATTATTTTTCTACATTGTGGTTCTATTTCTGCTAAATTACTCTTACAGTCTTTATCAACTTAAATTGTTTTTTTTTTTTAAACTATCGTTTTGGAACTCTGGAAAGATATTAAATTCACTGAATAAAATTTTTTCAATTTTGTTCCTCAAATATAATAAAAGTGATATATGTTAGACAAGTTAACTCCATTCTCCTAATATTAATGTTGTAATGAGGTTCAACTGAACTTTCCTTAGTGAGGCAAGTTTCAACTATCCTAAAAAAGGTAAATGATCTATTATTTGTGTGTGAATCTAAAGTGTGTCCCTTATGAAATTATTTATCTGTAGGTAAAAAGAAAAAAATTTAGGCAGACTGTTAAATATAATGTTAACAGGTATGGTGGGCAATAAATTCAAACTTTTTATTTAACTTACATCTGCTTAGTTTTTTTTAAGTATAAAGGCTCAGTTAATCAACTCATTAGACTAGTCAAGGCAAGACGAACTACATAAAGGATTTAAAAAGTGGTTGGTCTTTTAGTAATTCTCTAGTAATCACACACATACACACACACATACACACAAACTGGTAGGAGTACTCTGGATATAAGATTTCCCCCTATAATCGTGTATAATGCACTGTTCAGTCTGCAGTATTTTGAAAACTATATAAATTGGACATGACCAAATTAGAGATCTCTAATAAACTCTTATAAAGTATTTTGGGACTTCAGCTGTAATCCCCAGATGACTGATTTTAAACTATAAAAAAGGAAAATTCATATAAAATCACAACAGATTTAACAGACATCTTCAAAAAGAAATCAAACTGTAACTCAATTTTCTATTTTTTAAAATATGACTAAGAAAAAAGGTGTAAGTGGCAATGTCTACATTTTAAAAAAATTATTAACTGAGTGGATTTGGAGAAGACAAAAAACGCTATACAGTATTACTGCACTCCATGAATGTGCAGAATTCCAAAATGTGCCAGCACTAAAAAACTGTCTTGCATTGAGGTTTTCCAAGAGGTACAACGAGCCTGCCAAGAAAGCATCGGGTCTGTGCTAATAGCTTGCTGTCTTCAGTACAGGCCTTCAGAATGTCAGTCACACTGCTCTTGCAAAAATCCCTTAATGTAAAAGGGTTTTCAGTGCTGATAGGTGGGGCTATGATCGATGATGTGGGATTGGATCCATATGCACACTCAGCTTCATTTCATTGTCAAGAATTTGAACAAGCTGTTGCATGGATGGCAGGTGACCAGATTCCAGCTTAGACCACACAGGTACATCATTCAAAGTTATCTAAATGCACCTGTTGACATACACTGGTCCTCAATCGTGTTGCTCAAGAAGAAGACCATCATACACACACAGACCTTATTTTCTTGGCGCCACTGCCAGATGCTAGGAGCTTACATGCCAAAGAAAGCAAAAGGATCCTTGCCAACAATTAAGCCAATTAATACTATTTTGAAGACTGACAGGAAAGATGCTGTGTGTCTATATATTGGTTGAGGGAGGTAATTCTCTCCTTCAATGCGGATGTCCGGGTACCGCTGGCTAATAACTCGCATGTACTCCTCAAACACCCGCCTGTAACCTCAGGAAACACAAATCTGGAACTTGAGCAGCGGCCCTGTGGTGTACTGCATCTTCAATCTCTTGCCAGGCATGCTGCCCAGGCTGCCTGACACATCACCGCTGCGGAGCACGGCCGACACCACCACCACGAGCAGCAGCAGGAGCCTCATGGCACCGGAGCCACCTCGGCTGCCCGTGGACAGAGACTGCCTGATTCTAAAATTTTGTTTTGGATCATCTATTCTTCCATTAAGATGCAGTACTTTTAAATGGACAAGCTACTGGCCATTCAATGTTTTTCACAGGTAGATCCTTTCTAAAATATGGCCAAGGTTATCAGATGAACAAAGTAGGAGCAGTGGGTTTTGAGGCAAAGAAGATCAGAAGATAATAGTTGATATATTTGGATATCACATTTTACAAAATTAGAATTCTTTAAAACGTATCAAAAAAGTTATATAAATCATCATAATTTAAAAAGCATTAAATTAATTGATGAAAATGTTTTTAACACAATGTGATTTACTGAGTATGTACTTTGAGCCCAGAACATACAGCAATTAAATCTAAGAACAGCCTCACCACTATCGTGAAGGTGCACATAGGCTACTTAGTGAGCCAATACAGAAAACACAAAACAGAAAATGATGTCAAGCAACAGAAGAGGTAAAACCAAAATTCCACCTCCATTTCATATTAGCTGTGAGGGTATCCATAAGTTTCAGTCCACCACTCACTTTTTTTGTACACATAGTCCTTTAGAAAGCTCACTAGGTTTCACATCTTGCTCCCAAGTCTCCAGCTGACTTCTTTCCCAATTTCTATGCCTGGGTATTTCAATTAAGACTTCCTTCTCTCACCTTAACCCATACAGAAGAAATAATATTCTTGCAAAATTGATTATCTTTTCCTACATCATTCAAAGACACTAAACATTCCTCTAAGCTGTTTATTTTCTGCAGTCTTTATATTTCGATTATATTTTTTTGTTGCTGTTGTTGAGGAAGAGTCGTCCTGAGCTAACATCTGTTGCCAATCCTCTTTTTTTTTTTTTTTTGAGGAAGATTAGCCTTGAGCCAACATCTGCTGCCAATCCTCCTCTTTTTGCTAAGGAAGACTGGCCCTGAGCTAACATCTGTGCCCATCTTCTTCTATTTTTCTTATATGTGGGATGCCTGCCACAGCATGACCTGACAAACCGTGCGTAGGTCTGCACCTGGGATCTGAACTTGCGAACCCCAGGCGCCAAAGCAGAATGTGCAAACTTAACCACTGTGCCACAGGGCTGGCCCCTAATCTTCCTCTTTTTTGCTGAGGAAGATTTGCCCTGAGCTAACATCTGTTGCCAATCTTCCTCTATTTTATATGTGCACCACTGCCACAGCATGGCCACTGACAAGTGGTGTCAGTCCATGCCTGGGAACCGAACCCGGGCTGCTGAAGCACAAGCATACTGAACTTAACCACTAGGTCACCAGGGCTGGCCCTCGATTATATTTTTGCCCACAGCCATGCCATTCTTTCTCAGTGCTACCACCTTTAATTTTATATACAAACTTTTACAGGAGTTGCTAAACTTATCTGTTTCCAGCCTTCCAAATAATTTCATTTAGTGCTCATTCAATATGCTGTATATAGTGTTAACAGCAACAGAAACACAGGTTTTAAAGTCAGAAGGACCAGGATTTGAATCCTGGGCACTCTTCCAGTGGTCTCCTCACTGTCAGTTAATGTGCTTCATTTATTCTCACTTTTGTTTATGATGACCACTTTACATGGAAAGTATTTCTTCATTTCTAAGATGAGCTTATTTTTCAAAGTCCATCTCAAGTGCCTCTGCTTCATGAATACCCCAAACTAAAGTAATAACTACTTTAGAACAGATCTTACCCCTTGTACCGATTTCACACCCATCATAC